GTTTCAGGCCCCAGACTTCATTAATCAAGAGAGAAACAACCCAAGAAGGCTGTCACCATGTCATCAGCACCTCTGAGCCACCACCCCGCCAATTTTGCATTTCCTTCTTCTGGACAGCCTCTGCAGTGAAAAATGAAAAAAAGCCAGAGTCATATCATAAAAATTGCACCCACATACTGATATTTTTCTTCCTCCACCTTGTTGGAACACAGGCTGGCTGGCTCCACCCCATTCTATAGCGACCCTGTATAGTGTTTCCTAGGCATGGCTGGTGAGTTCCATCCAGTGCTTATCCTACAGCGTCACACCAGGACTCCTACAGTCGAGTCGTAAATCCCATGGAACTGTTTTTGTCTCTTGCACATGTTCAGTCTGTGCAAGCTCTCTCCCAACTCCCTTACCCCCCCAATGCCTGATTAGCTCATCATTCCTACTCATCTAGGGCTGTGTGGGGAAGACCACATTCCACCCTCACACTCCAATTTCTCCCAGCCCTGCAAAACTTTTCATTTTGGCTTCATTCTTATCAAAATGTTGCAACCATAATTAAAAAGGTATTGTTCTTCCAAAGGTAGTTTTCTAGGTTGCTGTCAGAGAATGATCACCTTGCTGCTGGGGAAAGTGGCAGAGCACTTCTATCTTGTGATATTTTGGCACAAGTGCTTCCTGAGTGTGGTATCCTCATGGGTCTGACTTGAGCAAGTCACGCCAGCAGCCTTTCTGGAACATTCCAAATTTCAGACACCCATCCCTTTCACCCATTCCATTAACTTTCATGATTACAGAACAGATAGAAGAAAGAAAGGCTCCCTAAACCTGGGAGCAACCCTGCATGCATGGAGTGGGATTCCTTGATAAAAAAAAAACTGCTTTTGAGGGACCTAAGCTCAGAGGCCACAAACACTGACCGTTTTCCCAGGAATGAGTCATCAGAGTTCTGCATCTGGAGGTTAGAAAGTCAGGGATGAGCTTTAGGGAGCTGTGGCACCCCCTCCATCTGTGTGACATAGAAATTTCAGCATGTAAGTATAGTTGGGCCTTTTTCTGGAGAATGAGTCTATGTCTTTTAACAGATTCTTAAGGAAGTTTGAGACTAATAAAGGAGAGGTAGGAAAGTGTGCACAGGCCAATCCACCCTTAGGAACCCTTAGGGTTTGGTTTGGTTTTGAATTTGAACTTGTTGCTAACATGTACAAAATGAGTTATTTCATCTGTTAAAAAAAATCCGCCTCTCTTCTGATACTTGCTATGACAAGAATGAATCTTGAAAACATCGTTCTGAGTGAAATAAGTTAGTCTCGAAAGGACTAATATGTATGATTTGACATATATGAAATATCTAGAAACATTGAAACAAGGTAGATCCATGGGAACCAGGGGTTAGGGAACACTGGCATGGGGAATTAATGCTTAATGGGTACAGAGTTGTTTAGATGATGCCATTTTGGAAATCAGCAGTAGTGGTTGTTAAGTGCTGTCAAGGTGGTTCCAACTCATAATAACCCTATAAGGTTTCCAAGGAGGACCCCCCAACCTTGCTGTTCAAACAGACCTTGCAGGCCAGCACATTAGCCCACAGTGCCACACCAGGACTCCTTTAGTGGTGATGGTTGCCAAATAAATAAAATTCACATCTCCAACTTTTTTTGAAAAGAATTCAGAAGAACTGGTGTCTGTGAGCTGATACTACTACATGTAGCATTTGTGGGAGCTGGTAAATGAAGACATGCCCTTGGAGTCCCCTCAGTCACAATCCAGGGCACCTGGCTCTCTTATGTCAGTTGATCTCTCTTAATCTGGAGTTGGCATGTTCCAGATTAAGAAACATTGTTAGCTATACACCAGCTCACTTGGCTTTTTAACTTTTATTGCAGCTTTAAGTGGAGGTTTAATGGGTATCTAATTAATCTGGCACATTATTCAATCACCAAAACACTGTTTAGATCTTTTGTATGTTAGGGTTTTTGTTTTGTTTTGTTTTTGAGCCTTCCCCATGGAGTAGTATCAGGGTCTCAATGATAGATTTTGACTTGGTCCCTCAACCAATTAGGCAGGAAATTTGTCCGCTTTCTCCATTGTTTTGTGTCATAATGGCACTACTTGAGCTCTCTGTCTATATATTATATGGAGCTGGCCTTTAATGTGAGGCACCCCAAACTGGATTTTGGTATGAGGCCACACAGAATGCTCCCATGTAAGCCTGTCTTTAATAAGGGTGTCTAGACTGACCTCCAACCTGAATAAGCAGACAGTTAGGGAGACACGGTCATGCTGAGCTATCACTCTGCAAAGACCCTCCCCTCTTTTTTTAGCTACATCATAATTCAATTCTCAGTTTAATGCACAAGATGGAAATACTAAACTCGCAGTTTCAGTCAAATCTCACACTACTTGAATCTTATGGGGGAACAGCATTCCCAACTGATCTCAAATCTTTGGGGGTTTAAGTTGGCCAAAAGGCAACTTCCTGTTTCTAAGAAAAAGGGCTTATGAGGGCTTACAAAAAAAAAAAAAAAGACCGCAGGAGCTTTGGGCTGCAAAATGGCTCTTGCAAAAACAACATTTGGATGATTTACGTGTAAATGAATCAGAAACATGTGGATTGAATTTCCTTGTGAATACAGATGGTTTTAAAAATTAACGGAAAAAGTGTTTGGCAAAATACTTTTTTTCTTTTTTTAATTGAATTGAAAATGTCAGAGGTGGGGGAGGGGGAACAGGAAGGGTGTGGGGACCACAAGGCTGGGAACCTCACCTAGCTGCCCAGGACCTACTGCAGGCTTTCTGGTAGTTTCACAAAAAAGGGAGCTGGGGTGAAGATTCCTCCAGACAAGATAGAAGGAAAATGATGAGGGCCACTTCCTAGACCCAATCATCATTGACAAGAACATCATTTTAAATTTAGACTAGCCATTACAAAGAGAGCAAAGACTTAGTCTTTCTGTCTGACAGGACAGGAAGCTGTCACTAGGAGCCAAAGATGGCTGCCACTGGCTTCCCATCTTGGCATATTTCAGAGTTGCCACACTGTTTCCATTTTCTCATAGACACCCCTTTATCCCTCACACCCATGCCAGGCAAAGTAGGCCACGTGGGATGATGCTTATTTGATTGAAGGGAAAATAAACTCTGAGAAGTGAAACAATTAGCATGAGGTCAAAGGCTAGTTTATTGGCAGAAGTGATAGTTTAAAAATAACAGCAGTTCACTTCTATTAGGAGCCCTGGTATGGCGCTTCGGGATAAAGCACTGGACCGAAAGGTTAGTTTGACCAAAATGTCAGTGGTTCAAACTTAACCAGCCGCTCCTCAGAAACCCTATACAGGGTTACTATGAGTTGGAACTGACTGACTTGAGGGCACTTAACAACAACAACAACACTTCTAGTAGTAGTCCCCGGGTGGTGTAAATGTTCACGTGCTCTTAACTGAAAGATGAAGGTTGGAGTCCACCCAGAGATACCTTGAAAGAAAGACCTGTTTATTTTTGAAAAAGCAGTTATTGAAAACCCTGGGGAGAGCTCAGTTCTACTCGGATACACATGGAGTGGGGCTGATGGCAACTGGCATTGGTGGCTTCTGTTTGAAGCTTAATAGGAGCTGAGCCCCAGGCTAGGCACTTTACACATGCTGTTTCTAGCTCCTATAGCCCTAAACGCTGGGATTAACTCAATTTTTTGGCGGAGGGAATTTAGATTCGGAGACACAGGCTACTAGTTCATGAAGGACTAACTCATGAAGCAACAAAAGCAGAAGTGGAATCAGGGGCAACTCACCCAACAAGCAAGTTAAGCACAGGCTTACTTGTGCTTAAGTACCAATCTGTAAACATTTTTTCACCATCTCAAAGATTCTGCTTCTAGCTATGACTGGCATCTTGGTCTTTCCCAATTGCCACAACATCTTCCTATAGAATCAAAGCCTTCTTTTCAAAGTACTCTCCCCGACAGAAAGTAAGGAGAAACCTGGTGTACTTGTGTTTATGTACTAATCTGTAGTGAACAGTTTCACATGTTTTTTTTTGCCAAGGCAAGCTTGTGTTTACTTGTTAATCTGTAGTATACAGTTGCACATGTTTTTCACCATTTACTAATCTATGAACGTGTTTACCACAGATTATTAAGAAAGCACAAGTAAACTCAGGTTTCCCTTGTCTATTGGATAATCCACCCCCGGATGGAACACAGGTCTGATGCCGCAAGCTCTCTAAGTATCTCTCAGTGTGGCCTGTGAACACTTTGACAGATTTTTGTTTAGCTCAAACTGTCTTCCCGTTGCTCTGGATCTTACTGCACCTTACGTTTGCTATAATTTCCTAGGAACACTCTAGAAAGAGTGAATGAAGCAGTATTATATAATGCTTTCAGCTGTTTTTCAAAAGTTTGCTTTCTCCTCCCATCCATGCTTTCTCCCATCTTTCTATTTTCAGTGTGCATATAGTTGCATTGCCTTCTTCCAAATCCCAGGACTGAGATAAAGGTACTAAAACTGCTATCTTAGTAATAATACAGAGAGAGCACAGAGAATACTAGGCTTAACTTTGTTGTTGTTGTTTTTATTTTGTTTGTTTGGGTTTGCGTAAGTTTCTGGCACTTGGGTGGACCAGTTTTATTTTAAAATTTAGAAGTGAAGGAGAGAATTAAAGAGAGCAACAAATAGAAATTTCTCACATTTTTTTTAATTTTTTTTGTAAGGTTTTGGGCTGTACGTTTCCCAGTGGTATTCAGAGTATGGAGCTTCCCAGTTATGTTTTAAAATTGAAATCAGACCTAGACGGGTGTTTAGGATATTCTGTTCTGTTAAAGATACATACACATATTTATTTATTATTATTTTTAATAAAGGACATGATATTTTGTAGTAAAACCTCATTGAAGAGATGAGAGCACATTTGTGGTTAATATTCAACGAATATAACGATGTGTGGGTGGGTTCCCCCCCCCCCCCCCCAGTGAAAAGTTTGAATGTAAAACCATTGAATTTTGTCTTTTCTTTCAACAGCGATATCTGGCATGATTGTTCCTCCCATGTGAAAGAATTGCCTTGAAGAATTTTATTAATGAAGAGGTTGGATTCTGCTACAGAGAGTAATCTGATACAAGTCCCAGAGTGGAACTTTTAACTCAGGCCTTTTTAAGAGGAATCACAATAACTGCAGATTTTTAAACAAACAAAATCACCGACCTTGCAAATACTGAAATTGGAAGGGATCTGCAAGTGCAGGGTGTTGGTTAAAGTTGTACCTCCCAAGTATTAGGGAGATATATTTATTCTGTGTTGATAAAAGCGAATCCACATTTTCTTTCTTTTTCTTTTGTTGTTTTCTTTTGTTTTTAAGCTTAATCTTGAAATCATTGGTCTTTTATAAACCATAAAGCTCAATACAAGGGACACTATAAATAAGACTCCATGTTTTAATTTATGATGTTTTTAAAGCTGTGTAAAGGGAGAATGAAGTGAGATATTTACAAAAAAGTTACAAAAGGAAAAAAAAAAAAAAAGAAGAAAAAGGAAAAAAAAAAAAAAAAAAAAAAAACCTTGTATGGGACAGAATAGGAATGCCAGTTAGATTTTTTTAGAAACTAAGGGTCGGCTTTTGCGCCTTAAAGCATATCAAATGGTAGTTAGCTCAGCCAGTGCATTTTCAGTATCTAACTTAACATGCCACCCCTTAGCAGTGCAAGCTTATTTATCTCTTTTGTATTGTTGTCTTAAGTAACTATGTAAATAAGTGCAGCCTGAGAAGTTAAAAAGCGATGTAAGTGATCATATTTCCCCTTCCACTCAAAAGTCCAGTGCCTCTAGACAGATTGTTAAAACTGCATATTTGAATGGATATCACTCTTTTACTTATATCAGCTTCGTTTAAAGCCCATGACCTCTCGATTGCTTCTTCGTGGCGCACATATTTGTGTGTGAATCTTGAATCTCCTTTGAAACTTCATGGAACAGGGTCTAGGCACAGATTCTACATTATGCCCTCCTGTTATCAAGCCAAAATCTCACTTACACTCTGCCATTTCCAAGTTCAGGCTAGTTGCCGATTTCATACCAATACTCCAAAAGCTAACAAAAGCTACATGGGCCGTATGTCAGAATTCCCATTCAAGAGAGCACTTGTACCAGTTGACCCTTACTATTTGTAACGAAAGAGATTAAAACCACAGTCTAAATGTTTTGGAATTAATAGTAAAAGGAAACTGGGGAATGGAAAAAAAAAAAGGTTGAGACTTGCAAAACTTAGTTTTCTGTTCTATGGAAATATTTTGCTCTCATTATCTGGGAAGTGTTCTTAAAAATAAAAATTAATAGCAAAGATGCAGCAGAGCTCTGAGGATGCATTTACCCAATATTTTTTTTCTTTGCTGTTGTGTTTTGTATGTAGTTATAAATACTGTAGATCTTTTGTGATTTTTTGCCAAAGTTGTTGTTCTATTTATACATTTTAATGTCTTAAGACAGTTTTTCAATATCACAAAAAGATTTTACTGCATATTTTGCAAAAAAAAGAAGGAAAAAAGCTCACTACCTTTAGCTTGCACATACTTGCAAAGTTAATTAAAAGGCTTTTTGTTTTAAAGGGGATTTTGTAAAATATCCATATAAATAATGTATTTATCTTCGGAATTTGTACATTGCTTTTACCCTTCTTCCTCTCCTCTCACCCCCCTACCCCAAGTTATTTTATTGTGTATGTTTGCTACATGAAAAATGCGCATTTGTTTGGTCACCTACAGTTGTATTAGCTGTTTCAATGTGATTTGAAACATTTCATTTATAGTTGTTTTTAGTATTGTGTTAAAACCATGCTTTAATTTTTTTTTATTTTCACCCAAAAGCCATCGTCTATTTTTGTATTATTTGTAAGTTAAGAAGTTTTTTTTTCCCCCCCCAATATATGGCAAAAAAAAAAAAAAAATAGTAGCATATTATTCTTGTAGTATTTAGTTCTGTAGATTAAAGAAAAAAATGTATCCTTTGCTTTGGAAACGTACACACACACACAAAAAAACTAATGCTGTTTTACTCTATTAATATGCATGGGATCTCTTCCTTTGGAGTGACGCATTTTGTGCATTAAATTTGGGGGAGAAACTTCATAGAAATCAGTGAACATACTTTCTTTCTTAAGTCTGCTTGTATATTTCCTCTGTCTTTCACATAAATATAAACCAGCAGATTGGATGCCTTAACAATGCAAATCATATTCATTTCACTTGTACATTGTAACTGTGCACCCTAACTGTCAGTCATCACTAACATTCTAAGAAAAAAAGAAAAAGAAAACAACAACAACAAAGAAATCGAAAAGCACAAAAGAACTGTTTTGTTACCTTAAGACAATGTAACTTTTTCTAGTAGAGCAAGAAATCATTTACAACAATGCTGCAACTGTGCATGCCCCCATATGGATTTTGCAATGGTTTTCACTAGACTGTCAGAGTGCGGATTTTTATGGGTTGGGGTGGGCGGGGGAGGGGAGTTGAGGGAGGGAAGGGAGGGGAGGAAAGCTGATTTTTCATGGTGAGAGATAATAATAATGATTAATAATAATAATTTAAAAAAAAACTGGAAAATGTAAGCAACATGGACGCTTCGCTTCTCGGTACTCAGAAAGGTTGTCTGAATTCACGTGGTAAGCGCTGGCTTGAAGATGTGTACAATTTAAAGCCATATTTTGTCTGGTGAGCCCCTTAACTGTTTGTGAAGGAGGTGTCTGGCTCAGACCCTGACAACAGACGTCACCCATCTGTCAGCCATGTGCAGTGGTTAGAACTTTTCTTGAAAGCCCAAAGAGCCTTTAAAATGTGTATAATTTGTGTTTCGTTGCTTCTATTTATATTGATTAGATGAAAAGATGTTCTGGCCCTCTGCCCTTCTTCTACTCAAAGCTTCTTTTACCAGGTAAAAGATGTTCCCCTAACTACAGAATATGGCTTTAAGAAGAAAATGAAATAGGGATTTAAATTAAGATTTTGGTGTTGGGGGAAAAAACAAAGCTTCTGGATGACTGGATTGCTAACAAGCCCTGGCCTCACAGTGTACTAGGACGCAGCTTAATAAGGTCATCTCTAAACCAACTAACCTTTCACCTTCTTATCAAACTTTTTGAATAGACACACACTGTACAGTTCAATTGTTAGAGAACCTAACTACTGTAGAAATTGTTATAATTTTTTTTTTTTTTTTTTTGCAAAAATTCAAGCTGTAAAAACTTTTCAACTTTCACGATATTTAATTAAAGTTACTTCCTGTCTGTGATGGCAACTCCTAGTTGTGTATTCATTTCTCTGTTTCAGACTAGCGGAAAGTACAGTGGTAATTTAAAAGGCCTGTGTTAACAATTACTCAGGCCAGTGTTGACACCCTGAGAAAAGGAATTAAAGTGGTCCTGGGACACCCACTTTCTTTCTTTGTAGGTCCTTGGGGATTTGCTAATCTGGGATGCAAATTAAATACACGTAGCGTACTGCTGCCCTCTGCCGGCAGCTGTCATACGCGCATGTGCCCATGCTGCCCAAAAGAGGAGTGGTGAGCACCAACAAGAGACATGTTATCTCCCTGTAGTGACTGGACTGTGAATGCAGGAACTAGCCATTCTAGAACTCCAGCTTTCGTGTTACAAGTCTGAACTAGGCTTTTCACGTGCCGTTGTTAATTAATCCCAGTGAGCCTTTTGGTCAATTAATTGTTCTGAGGAAGTGTGTGAACTCAGAACTTTCTATGACCTATATATTTTAATCCCATGTGCGTCAAAGACTTTCCCTGTGGGATAAAATCAAATTTATCTGGAGTGTCTAACATTCTACAAACAAGCAGTGGGTACACTCATGCAAAATTGTTCACTTTAAAGACTAATAAAATCATAAGTCTTTGCAATTGCACATTCAATGACTTTCCTGCTTTGGCAATTATTGAACATGATAAGGTTAATGATGCTTGTAAAATGCCTCAAAAACTCAGCAAATAGGCCATAGACCAACAGAAACTTGACGGTCAGAGCTAATAGAGCATCACATGCCCACCAGCACAATCGTTCATAGTGGGCATTGCTGATGCATATTTGACATGGAATATAGCCATTCGAGGTACTACAAGCAAGCAAGGAATGAATGTATAAATTAATAAGTAGAGAAGCTGACATTCTTTTCTTAAAAACAGAACCAAAACTTATTAGTTTTGCCACTTGATAAGCATTTTAGGAATTTTGGTCCATTCGATTCAGAAGATAAAAAAACCAAAGTTCCTGCCCACAGGAGGCTCACAATCTCAGACAAGACAAACCTATAGACAAACCGGAGTGTTAAAGTAGTTAGGCTGGCGTGTCACAATGTTCTGCAGAATTAAAACTGATGCCCACCTCCTTTAATTATTATTCATTGGTTCTCTTGTTTATTCATTTATTCAAGACTAAAGAGTTTACTATGTGTCTGGAATCAAGAAAGGCGCAGTGATACAAGAATGAGCACAGAATTATAGTTGAGTGGAACAGACGTGAAGCTGTCACTCAAGTGCATAGGAACTGACACATAATGGCAATGGAAAAAGTATCTATGGTACTCTAAAAGCAGAGTACAGTGGTCCTGAAGGACTGAAGAAGACTTCCACAGAAAACGGCATTTGAGTTAAGAAATCAAGGGCAGGTAGGGGTTAAGCAGGCGGGTTGGGCTCCTTAGGGAGAGGGAAGAAGGTAGAACAGGAACTGAGTTTTGGGGTACATGAGGTGCAGTAAGAACAGAAAGACCAAGTGAGCTATTGGAGTATGTGGAGACACATGATGAGACTGGGAGATTGGGATGTGTTATTTAAACCACATATTGAGTGCTTACTATGTGATTGGTACTGTACAGATACTAGAATACACCAGACAAAGACATCATAGTTTCTGCCTATAGGGCCGGAGGCAAAACTCACAAACTCACATACCCTTAGGGACAATATAAGGGAAAAGAAGGGGCAAATTGGGGCTAAAACAGGGAGTAGTGGGGTTGAGACCACTCTGACTAATACATGTCCTCTCTAAAGACAGTACCCTGTTTGCTCCAGGCAGTTGTTCCCAGGAGGAAATGTGGTCCCAGAGATACCATCTCTCATATTTAAGAATACTGTATAAGGTACTGGGTAGTTTTGAAGTGGAGGGGTGGTGGTGGAGGAGAAATTTTTATTTTTTAAATGCTAGCATTTAATCTAAAACCAGAGTTCTAATACGGTGCTGTAGGATATGCACTTGGCCTCACAAGGTTGGCTGTTCAAACTCACCAGTTGCTCCTTGGAAACCCTGTACAGGGTTGCTATGAGTTGGAACCCACTCGACAGGACTTAACAGCAACAGCAGCAATCTTAAACTAGTGTTCCCAAAATATTATATTGGGCAAAGTTTATGAGCCCCTAGACTGTCAGTTTGGGACCTCTGGCTAAAAGATAAGTTACTAAAAAAGATGCGTACACAGCCTGAGTGGAGAGTTGTAGTGATATG